ACATTCCAGTACAATATTTGAATATATTTTAAAAGCAAGTGCACAGTGGGTGATTAAAACAGGAGGATTGCTTAGATGAATGGTTCTTTTTACAAATGTATTTCACTTCTATGACAAATATTTATTCACTCATTAAATTATTGGAATAAGTGAACATATTGCCTTATATTATTGTGTGGTCAGAATGTAAAATTTTTTTTTGCATTACTGCCATGATCCTGTTTTTCTTATAGTTTTTATTATTTTTAATGTTTTTTTAAAAATTGATTTTAGAGAGAGAAAGGAAGGGAGAGGGAGAGAGACAGAGAGAAAAAGAAAAAGACATCGATGAGAACCATCGATCAGCTGCCTCCTGCACCATCCCTACTGGGGATTGATCTAGCAACCTGGGCATGTGCCCTGACCAGGAATGGAACCGGTGACCTCTTGGTGCATGGGAGGTGCTCAACCAACTGAGCCACACCAGCCAGGGCTCTCCCATGATTTTTTTTCTATACTGAGTGACATCATCCTATATAATAAAAGGCTAATTGCAAATAGACCAAACAGTGGAATGACCGGTCACTATGACACGCACTGACTACCAGGGGGCAGACACTCAATGCAGGAGCTGCCCCCTGGTGGTCAGTGCACTACCACAGGGGGAGCGCCGCTCAGCCAGAAGCTGGGCTCATGGCTGGTGAGTGCAGCAGCAGTCAGACAGCCCCCAAGGGCTCCCAGACTGTGAGAGGGCGCAGGCCAGACTGAGGGACACCCCCCCCCCCCCCCCGTGAGTGCACAATTTCATGCACCAGGCCTCTGGTATCAGATAAGAAAGATAGACGTGCAGAACATACTTGTTAAGTCTACCTACTTGCATTGAGTGAGAGTCAGAAGAGTATGTTTGTCATCTTTTAGAGCCTGTAAGACACAGCCTATAAAAAGAAGTGCCCATGGAGCATGTGGCATTGCTCTTAGGGCTTTTAAGTTTCTATTTTAAAAGGCTGCCTTTCTTTGCATTTTACTGTCGGCCTCTGTTGACGCATTTCTAAGGGTGTGGATATGTTCATATTAATGTCAAGCAAGTTTGAAATAGATTTAGACAAAGAGTGCATATAACTTTCTATTGCATTAAATTATTTCAGGGTGTGGAGCTCTGCCTCTCCGGAAACACATAGAAAGCGAAATTATGAACTGTGGTAGACCAAATCCAATGAAATCATGCCAGAGATTCTCAGAACACTTACTGCATTTGAGCATTAACTTTGCATTGTGTTTGCTTTCAACAGTTTTTAATGAACAGATCATTTATTCTTAGATGACAATTGAAAGGCAAGTAACAATTTAGAAGTTTTAAAATCCAAGTACTCAGTTAAAAAAAAATGATCCCAAGTTTTAAGAACTACCGTGGCCTTCTAAAGTTATACCTGAATATTAGAAAGTACTTGGTAGAGTAAAAAAATTTTTATGAAAGAAATGAGATTGTTTCATGTGAGTAAACTATATATCTGAGAAACACATATACTTTTAAAATCTATTCTATTAATATTTAGTAATTTTATAATCTAATGAAAGAAAATATACTGTATTAAAAATTATCTCATTATGGATAGATGAAAAGAAAACCACACAAGCCATATATGCTTAGTAATGGCTTGCATTTTTGTCAAGAATCTATGAAATATTTTAGGAGTATTCCATCAGTGTGGTTATGAGAGAAGACAGAAGAATCCATGTTATTGCCAAGTCTCTAGCATCCTTGAATTTGGGCTCGACCAGGAATGTGTAAGGAACCTCGTGTGATACATCTCTAGAAGGTTCCACTGACAGCAGATCACCCATGGGCTAAGCATGGGGCTGCGTGGCTCTGTTGGTGGTGCACAAATTTGTGTCTACATTTATGCCGTGGAAGATCTTGAGTTAGCTCCTTAAAATAACTGTTCTCTGAAAAGCTGATGTCCTTGGTGGTAGATGGTTTCCCCTGAAGGACATGGCAGGGGCATTATTACAAGTGGACTTCTAGGGGTTCAAGGTCAGAGAAGCTGGGAGCTTCTGCATTTTGACAGACTTGAAACTATGTGCAAGAGAGAGAAACTTGGCTAATCAGTAGAGATATACCTGAACCCCAAACATCAATAAATGGTTATACATTAGGGTCAGCTTAAGGAGTGGATATTTTAGCAAAGAAGATATCTGCCTCATTATATCACAGACCCTCTCTAAAGGACAGAGCATGTACTGGTCTTTGCACATGAACCTAAAAGGAAAGAAAGGTTAGACATTGACTTGCTAGATGAGTGATTATTGTCCTCCCATCAAAGGATCTAAGATTGGATCACCAAAGTCATGGTTATGAGGTTGAACCTGCGAGGATTTCAGTGCCATATCACTCACAGATTTTAAATGGAGACATAATCTTAAGAGCTACATTTGTAAATTATACCGAGTATTTCCAAGAATCTTCTTCATGACTGAAGACTTAATCAAGATTTTAAAAGTACTTAATGTAAACCTGAGCCTTTTATTCAATGGCACAAAGACCAGATGTCAAAGGCAAAGAAATAAAAAGAGAAGTCAAGACTCCCCCTTTTTTTCTCTTTCTCTTTGTATTAGCTTATTTGCTGGGTCACTTGAAATTTAGTTGTACACATCATGACATTTCACTCCTAAGTACCTCAGCAGATGCAGCCTAAGAACAGGATATTCTGCTGTATAACCACAACGCAGTAATCACACTTGAGAAATTTAATTTTGATATAATACCTTTAATTCAGAGTCTCCCAATAGTCCCAATAATGTCTTTTATAATTACTTGTTTTCCATAAAGCAAGATCCAGTCAGAAACTACACCTTGCATTTATTTGTCATGCCTCTTGAATCTCCTTTAATCTAGAGATCATTTAACAGTCTTCTTTTGCCATTTATGACATTGACATTTTTGAAGTCCAGACCGGTTTTTTTGTAGACTATCCCTCAATTTGAATTTGTCCGATTGTTTCCTCACATTTGAAATTATGATTCTTCATAAGGAAATAAGAAATAAATAAATGAAGACAGGACGGGGGGTGAGAAAAAGGAAGGAAAAAGAGATGCAAATGGCATGAACTTTACTTATTCAAACTGAAGAAATCAGCCTCATCGATTTGTATTCAGGCTATATTGATAAACACATGGATGGAATAGGACAGGGAATAAACCTTGTGAGTTTTGGTTGTGTTCTAGTTAAAAAAAAATTTAAACTAGTTCTTTTACTCTATACACACCTACAAAATTAAAAATGACCTTAAAGAGTTTATAGAAATGTACAGACATGATTGCAGATTGATGAGAAGTTAGTCTGTTCTTAAAAACCTCCAAAACAGAGATGTGTGAACCATATATTGAAAGGAAGACTCCTATGAAATCTATTCAGAAAGTAAATCTTGTTTTCAAGCTGCCAGACAAAAGTGTCAAGTATCAAAGGCCTAGGAACAGACCTGAGATAAGTTTTGGAACTTGCCACTGTGTCTCCACATGGAGTGGCTGCTTCTCCACCTCGTCTTCCAGCCTCTGAATTAACACGAGTGTACAGGCCACTGTAGGAGCATTGCTGAGAAATTACAGCGTTCAAATGGTTTTCCCTATAATTTATTGGAACCTTCATGTGCTCATTCCTGACATTTTTTTGATTTAACTTGGTAAGGGCAGAGTTGTAGAAAAACAAACATACCTTGAGTAGGAACGATACTCCATTTCCTGTTCGTGTCTGAGGTGGCTCTGATTGCTGTCCTTGGAGTCTCCATCACCATACACAGTGAATGAATAATTGCGCACTGGATTAGGGAGGTGCAATCTCATTTGCCTGCATTTTTTTTCTTCTCTCTGGGTCTTGCTTTTAATTTTTGAACTTGAGCAGAAGGGGCTTTTCTAAGACTCAGTGGAAACAGAGTTGTTGAGCTCTCAATATCTGCAATGTTGACTAAGTGAAGTTCTGTGTATGGAGGAAGATCCATTCCTTACTCTTATTTTTAAACAGTTTTATTACAAAAAAGTTGGAGTGCTGTATAGAATCTTATAACAAACCACCATGTGTACCTATTGCCTCACTTCTACAATAATCAACTTCATGGGAAATTTGTTTCATTTTTATACCTATCCATTCCCTACCATATCTGAGATTGAAGCAAATCTCAGATATTATAACATTTTGCTCATAAATACTTCAGTAGAGAAAAGGAACTCTGTTAAGCAGTCTTCTTTAAAATAAGAATGCTATGTAGGTGTTCAGTGTAAAGTATTCTACAAGTTAGTGCACAATTTGAGTACTCCCAGTCTCTGTTGAGATTTAGAACTAAATCCAGTGAAAATGACAGTTTGATGTGAGTATGGTGGTCATCTGGAATGGTCATACATTGTCTGATGGGACAGCGACTGTAGGTCCAATTAAAGAGTGATGTCACCAAAGAATGTCTGTCTTGAGGAAAGGAGCATGGTGAAGATTTGTGAGTTGTTTGTTCTTTGGGCCTCCTGAGGTGATAGGATAATCTACCTCTGACTCCATAAAGTTGCAGCCATGGAGAAGTTAGTCACTTACCTGTCTCTGAAACTAAACATCCCTACTTAAAAAATGGATGTGATGCCTGTTGTACCTGTTCACAGAACTGGGATGAAGATCTGTTGTGATCTAGGATGCAAACATGCCCAGTTATATATTCTTCAGATTTTGGTCCTTTGAAATGACCACTGTTCAGGATTTTTAATAGTATTAGAGAATGTAAATATTGAGGAATTAACTATATAGAATATTTTAAAATAATTTTATAACCTAAGTCGTTTTTTTCTCCCCTGATTATATTTTATTTGGGCATATTCTTCTTCTTCAAGTGGATATATATTTTGGCTGACTCCTCCTCTCCCCATTTCTATTTCTTTCTCAGATAATAAAACCTTTAGAAATGGGGCTGGGATCAGGTTCACCCCAAATTGAAGTTTCTCTTTGAAAGATTATGGGTGATCAAAACTCTTTTTCTTTCTCTTTTCAGCCTTGCCTCTTCGATTGAAAGAGATGAAAAGCCAGGAATCGGCGGCAGGCTCCAAACTAGTGCTTCGGTGTGAGACCAGTTCTGAATATTCTTCTCTCAGATTCAAATGGTTCAAGAATGGGAATGAATTAAACCGAAAGAACAAACCACAACACATCAAGATACAAAAAAGGCCAGGGTAAGTTAATACATGTAACAGCAGAGGCAATACCTAGCAATAGAATGATTTAAAATATAAAAATTACTTACAGCCTAGCCCTGGCCGCGTGGCTCAGTTGGTTGGAGCGTTGTCCTGTACACCAGAAGGTGCAGGCAGGTTCGATCCCTGGGGGTCATCAGATTGTATAAGATGATCTAGTTCAGTCTTCTATAATACATAGCAATTACATTGGTAATGCGTTGAAACACTGTGGCTGGGGAGCTTTAAGATTGTTAAGTAGTGCATTGATTTACAAATAGTGATCTTTTAGAAAATTACTAGTTATATTGAGGTAAGTTCTACTTTATCGTAAGCCAGAATTTAATTAGGGAGATGAGATATCTAGCATATTATATCAGACAATGAAACTAAATGCTAAGTTGTAGGTTACTGACACTACTAAGTGGAGTGGCATTAGGAAGAGGGGGAGACCCTGAGAACTTCAGGAGTAGCTGTGAGAGGGTAGATTTGACTCTGCTGAAGAGCGAGCGTCCCCTCTGGCCTAGGTGGGTGAGGTGGGGTGGGCAGTTAGAAGAGCAGGAATCACAGTCATAGCAGGCCCTGTTATCACACCAGGCCGATTGGAGCAGTGGGCGAGCGGGTAGGACATTCTGCCCCTTAATGGACAAGTTGCTGTGTGTGTCAGACCCTGGGCTAGATGTTGGGTACGCAGAGGTGAATAAGACATGCTCTCCGCTCTTAAGAGGCTTAGTCTAGATGGGAGAGAAATGGAAACAGTTCCAATACTCAGATTTAAATTGTACAGCAGTGATGACTGTGAGATGCTATAGAAAGAGGCTAACACAGATGGGGAGGGGACCCAGTCAGGGACAGTGGTGGCTTCCTAGAAAGTAGGAGAGGAGGAAGGGAGGGAAGAGGGGTTTATCCAGGCGGCAGGAACAGAACAAAGCATCTGCAGACTGCACATACCAGTGTGAGGATGCCTAGAGAGAAGCAAATGAGCTGGATAGGTAAGGTGAAAATAAGGTACAAAATAAAGTGAGCTGCTTAGGATAAATACAGTTTTGAAAGAGTACATTTTGTGTGTATGTGTATGTGTGTGTATGTATTTTTTTTTTCCTTAAAGAGGCAATTTGTTACATGCTTGGAGGCATATAAAAGTATCATTAGTATTCAGAAAAGCATGCTCATATTGGCTCCATAGGTCCAGACAGCTAAGAGCACTGTCTACATATTAATAAAACCCCATTAGACCAGATAGTCCAATATTCATAAATGGCTTCTTTTAAACAATAGCCTTGCTGGAAGGATTTAAATGGAAGAAAAAAAAGGACATTTTATTAAAGTTATGTAACTGTAAATTACTCTAGGAAAAACATGTAACATATTTGATCTTCTAAAAATAAGACACTTTGTGTAAAGTGGGCAGTTACTTGATAAGTGATCAGCTTATCTGGTTTCAGAATTGGGTATTTGGTCATTTCTGAAGTTGTATCTTTAAAAAAAAATTAGTGTGTCACCTTTTGTTAAGCTTAAAGAATCAAACTGAATCTAAGTATAATTAGCATTTTAAATGTTCTTATATTTCAAGTTGTCTTATAAATATAAGAGGATGAATTCTGTTATTATTATACCCATTTAAAATGAAGATCCTGTCCTGGCCAGTGTAGCTCAGTGTTTGAGCATCGACCTATGAACCAAGAAGTCACTGGTTCAATTTTCGGTCAGGGCATATGCCCGGGTTGCAGGCTTGATCCCCAGTAGTGGGTGTGCAGGAGGCAGCCAATAGATGATGTTTCTCTTATGGATGTTTCTATCTCTCAATCCCTCTCCCTTCCTCTCCTAAAAATAAAATAACAACAATATATTTTATAAAATAAAATAAATAAAATAAAAATCCTGAGAATGAAGTAAGTTGTTTCTTCCTGTAGATCTCAGGTTAATGAATGGTAAAACTTGGGTTTGAAGTTTGTCTGACTCCCTGACCCATGTCTTTTCACAAATACTTGTGATTTTGCTACCTACAGTGAAGTCACAACACAGGGCTAGGGACATGTTAAGCATAGAATGAAATCTTTAATGAAAACATATATTTTTTGGTTGCATCTACATATGTATAATTTTTCATTACCATGCTATCCAAAACATTAATGGTTTGCAGTGGTTACTTGGTTACTTGACTTAAACTTTGTCTTACTTACACTTGATCTTAGCAAAAAGGCCAAGGAGCAATGAACTATAATCTTTAGATACGTGATCACCACTGAGCAGAGGTGAATTTTAGTGTGAGGTTTAGGGTTTCTCTGGGATTCTCTTTATTTAAGTAAAACATTGAATCTCATCCAGGCCTTAGTCTAAGGTTTCTTTTTCACATTTTATAATCTAGATTGTTCATAGCAGCCAGGATTTCTTTTTTAATCCCTTAGTGTTATGAAAAGCTTTCACGACAATATGCAATTTCTATTATTTTGTAAAGTCTTATCTCTCTTCTGCCCCTGCTCCTACTAATAAACTACATTCCTACATGTTCTTCCTATGATTTTGAGTTCACGTTTGAGCCTTTGTTTGTTTTATTTGGCCAAGCAATGTGTGGGACCAATTAAAAGAAATGGAAACTGCCCCAGTGGTATGTGTCCGCTGATTCCTTTGTTCTTGTTTCCTTTGCCTGGTGAATGACTTTGATGAAGAAGACTGGTTAAAGAGCCTGGTGTGTGTGGCAGATTCATGTCTGGGGCTGTCAGATTGGCCTCATTTAAACACTGGTTCTATATCAGGCTTATTAAACGCTGACTTCCTATTGCTTATGCATGGCACACACTTTGGGATGCCCTTACTTTTTTTCTCAGTTCTTTATTTCTGTTCTTGCATCTTAATTTTGTTTAAGATTGGCTCTACTTATTTGTTCAAATTTCTTAAAATTTTTGAAAATTATTTTTTTCTGTTGTTAATTGTTGCTTTTTTTTTACTCTAAAATAGAAAAAGTTAATGCATATTCCCTTCTCTTTTCTTTTCTTTTTTTTTTTGTTTGTTAATCCTCACCCGAGGATATTTTCCCATTGATATTTAGGGAGAGTAGAAGAGAGAGGGAAAGACAGAGAGAAACACATTGTGCCTCCTGCATGAGCCCCAACCAGGGCCTGGGCCACGGAGGAGCCTGCAACCAAGGTACATGCCCTTGGTTGGAATCAAACCCAGGGCACTTTGGTCTGCAGGCCAACACTCTATTCACTGAGCAAAACCAGCTAGGGCCATATCCCCTTCTCTTTTTAGCTTAGCTGCTTTGGGAGGTCACTATAACTTTATATGTAAGAAAATCTCAAATTCCTTCCATATACTAACTAGTAAAACGGGAATACCAAGTGCCTATTTCCTATGGTTTATGTGAGGCATTAGGTGTAGTGCCTGGTTCTGTACATTATAATAATTGTCTATGAAGTCTCTTTTACCTTCTCATTATTGGCAGTTCCACAGTATCTGAAGAAGTGTTCACACACACACACACACACACACACACACACACACACAGCTCATATGTGGTTCCTTAGAGATCAGAGGAATGGAATTATGTCAACTGATCCCTATACATTTAAGTTGTCTCAACATGTCAACTATAGTGGAAGAATCACGCTAAGTAAGAAAAATGAGAGAGTTGCTGTTGGAACCCTGAATCCATCTTGTTAGTGAGCACTTATCGAAGGAACAAAGTTTGCATTTTGATATGAAAGAAGAAAAAGAAATCAATATTTAGAACTTTCACTTATAAATCAGTTTGTATTAATTTATTTTTACACTGCGTTCTTCTGATTTCAAAAGTAATGTATGCTTATTATAAAAATTAAACATTGCAGGAATGTAGAGTGTGATTATAATAACAGCTGACATTTATCAGGAGCTTATTTAAAGCATTGTTTTAAACTTTAAAAAAATAAATTAACTCTTTTAATAGTTTTAGAAAATGAAAATCCACCGAAACGTCAACCCCTCCCAGATTCTCAGACAACTTATCAATGAAAGAGCCAAAAGTTAATTTTATGATTGGGAGGGAATTTCAGTAATTTTTTTTTCAGTTGACATTCTCCCTTGTGTTGTAGTTTGTTGAGAGTAAACCAAGACCATTGTATCCATACTTAACAAAGCCCCGGATTATTGCAGTATATAATTTTCAATAAAAATTTGTTTATTTCTATTCTCTTGCCACAGTACTTCCCATTCCGATTCTAGGACCCAAAGATTGAAGAATCTCAGTTTAAATATATGATCAGCATTCAAGGGGGCCCTACTAATGAGCACCTCAATCAATGATTTACCCATCATTCCCCTAGAGAATCTTGTTTCCGCTGGATTGCCAAAAGGGTTGCCAACCACCCTGAGCTGAATACTTTCTCTCTTTGCCATAGTTTTAAATATGAGGTGCTGATTTAAGCTTTCATTTTAAAACAGGATTCTTTATTTTTCCAAAAATAGTTGAAAGCACTGATCTAATTTAATCTTTCTCTGCATAGAGACATTCTTGTCAAGAGGATGCTTGGCAGGTGGTTATCCAGACTTCAGTCTTTCTAAAGAAGAAAACTAACCCTTTCACTAGATACCCTACTCAGTTTTTTAGATTATCACTTAAAGTATGCCTTTTTTTCCTCTAAGACGTACTTCTCCTTCAAGAGCTTCTCCAAATAATTTTCTTTTTTAGATGACAACCATGACATACATTAAAATAGCTACCCAGACCTTGTTCATAACTGCCCGTCAGTGGGACCTCTGTTTCTTTAACAGAATCTCCTCTGTGCCTTATTCCGTTCTGATCACTCTCCTCTAAAGTCCTCTAGTTATTTATATTTTTCATCAAATGCCACTTCAAAACATAATTCAATATTCCAGATGAGATCCAGCCTGTGAGCAGTGGATTGAGACTTCTATCTAATTTGATTTATTCTGTTTTTGACCAAACATTGCATAAATGAATTTTTTAAATTTTTAAATTTTAATAGTTGTTTAAAATGGAGTAATGTTAAATGCATGACTAATTGAAATCCCCTTTTCTGTATATATTGTTGTCAATACACGTCTCTTGGAGCCTGTATTTCTGCTACTGATTTTTGAACCTGAATGTATTTGTTATGCGTAGCTTGATTAAATTGAATCTTGGTTTTGCCCCATTGATGTTCAGTGCTAGAATTCCCAAGGGTGTTCTCTATAGAAAGGATTCCTTAGCCACATATCATGCCTGCCTTAGAAATTCACAGTATATATTTGCATAAAAACAACTAAAAGGCACTGTTGTAAAGAATCTATTTAACTTTGTTTAATGCAACATTTATCTGAGCACAGAATAATTTTTTTCCTATTCTCTCTCTTTTTTAAGCATAACATTTATTTGCATTATTTGAAATAGTATTCCCAGAAAACACTCCCCAGGTCTATTGGGAGAATTTTGATTTTAAGAACTAACTTTAAGATTAACTATAAATTTGATTACCATGTTTCTTACCATTTGATTCAGTTCAGTAGTTAAAATAATAATGACACAGGGTCAAGAAAGAACTCTTTACATATCATAAAGGACTGTTCTTAGATTTAAATAAGTAGGAAAGAAGGATTGTTCTCAGAATTATCATAATCTTGGGGTATTTTACATTCTTAGACTATTGTTTTAATAATCTTATTTCAGAGTTTTGGGGCTTAACAAAAAATTACTATTATTGTAGAAATTCTCTTTTTCTTCTGTGTTAAAAACCAAGGTTTTATTCCCCATCCTTCATAACTTATCTGTCAGTTATGGTTAGTGGTTCCATGGTCATCAATGAAAATTCTTTCAGCTAAGCATGTGATTTGGGGCTGGACAAGCTTATTGTAATATTGATTCCATTGTTTCTCATTATTCTTCGTGTGTGTGTCATGAGGTAAACTTGTCATGTACAAACAAAGTGCACAAATAGTTGATAACCCATTTAAAAAGCACTAGATTTAATACCTCAAAACAGGGGGCTAAATGCCCTATTATTGTTGTATTTTGATTATTTTAAAAGCTGTCACATTTTATTAAATCTTAATATCTACTTGCCAGAGTGCTTGCCATCCAAATGGTCTATTTTGGCTTATAAGGATATACTTCAGGGAAAGTTTTCTATGAATAACATTTCTGGTTAATATGTAAATGTCCCTGTATAAATGGCCCTTGGATTGTCTTCTCATTACATTGATAAACAAGGTCATTATTATATTAGGTCCACTATTTATCAACTATGTTCTGTAGACCATTATTTCCAGGAAATATTAACAGATAAGCCATGTGAGTGACAAGGATTCCATGGTCAAATAAGTTTGAGAGAAACTTACATCACCCTCTTATAGAGTCAGAATACATTAACATATTAAAGACTTTGAGAAACCATGTAGGATTTAAAAAACAACAAAAAAAGCCCATTTTTGTTTAACCTATCTTCCAACTTATTTGAGCACAGAACACTTTGTTTTGTTTTCTACAGTTTATCTGTTGACAGTGTTCTGAGTTATAGCTCATGAAGCTCATTTTTCAATGCACATGTTGGTTTGATCTGGACTACCTCTGACTATCTCCGCCCTCTTAATAGTGCATCCTCCTTTCCTACAGCCAGCAATAGGAACGTGATGTCTTGCAGAGAGCTTAGGTAGGAACATTCAAATATTTTCTTCATTTATTCACACATTTATCTAATAATGTTTGAGGATGCACCAAGGACAAAGCAGTGATACGGAGAAGTTTAAACTATGGACTCCACTTTAAAGTGTGTGTGCTAACATGAGAGATAAGACATCCTGAGAGCACCATGAGGATCATGAGAGAGGTACTCAGAGCTGTCAGAATTTAGACCGAGGAGAGAGCAGCTCTGGCTACATGACCATAGGAGTCTTGATGAAGGAATTGGCACTTGAGATGTCTCTTCCATGCTCATGTCAGCTAATAGCTTGATGGTTAGAATTGGGGGGTCCCCACTCGAGGAGGAAGAAATGACACATGCAAGAGCACCAGTTGGAAGCCCATAAGGCTTACATGCGGATCTGGGTGGGTGGTTCAGTTTGATAGAATGGAAGAGAATAGTAGGAATTAAATTTGGAATAATGACTAATTTAATTAATTATATTATGTAACAAAAGACCAGAAAATTCACTGAAAAGTAGGAAGGTGTAATTTACAGGAGGTTTGCATATAATCCTGAATTGCCATCTTTGCTCCCTGCCTTCTTTTTCTCCCTATGGTCATCCAGGCAGTCAGTACCAGGCTTTATTATACAAGGATGCTTGTTAAAGGCTTTATATTGTAACAGTCACCTCATCCTATTAAAATATAGTTACAGAAAATAATAAAATAAATGGTTTTAGTAAATGCTGAGCCAATCACAGTATATCTTGAGTTTTTAAATCATAGAGACTGCTTAAATTATAGGCTATGTGCAATAGTAAAACATAGACAAATGCAATCAAAATGCTGCCTGTGTTCAAAAAGAATGCTGAACATTGATTTAATGTGCAGCGTTTAATAAAAGTGTGTGCTATTGTTGCATGAATATTTATTTCAACATTAAGAACCATTTGTTTGGTGCTATGCTCCTAGCAATGAGCCTTAAAGAAAGACAAATTCCCTTTCTTTTGGAAGTGATAAATCCTTTTCATTCAAAATTAACATAATTCCTGATGTTACTCCACTGAGGAAAGAAGTGCAGAGCATTTTAATATATTCAAGCCTTAAGTGTCTGCCCTTACCAGATTTTTAAGAAATGAAACCCTTTTTTTTTACTTTCCTAAACTCTAGTGGCTGGTGACATTTAGAAATAGAGAGGAAAGAAAATGTAGCAATTGGGTTGAAAAAAAATCTGAGGCATAATAGTGGTGGTAGAGGAATAAAGAGAAACATTAGAGAAAAATTCTTGATTTGAGTGATAAAATTAAAGCTGTATCCATGGTATAACTTAAATGCTAAGTGTCTCACTTTTACTTTTGGTAAATTATATATCTGTGTACTAGTAAGCTGTGTTTTAATATGGTGCCTATGGAATGGGGAGGGGGAGTTTGAGAACTCTGAAACTACAGAGACATATATTTTGATGATCACTGTATTTCTGTGAAATATACTTATACCACTTTGGTCCTGATCTTATAGGAAGTCAGAACTTCGCATTAACAAAGCATCACTGGCTGATTCTGGGGAATACATGTGCCAAGTGAGCAGCAAATTAGGAAATGACAGTGCCTCTGCCAACATCACCATTGTGGAGTCAAATGGTAAGAGATCTGCTGCTATGTTCTGTTTCTCAATCTGTATGAGGGGTAATGATGTTATGTGGTAAGCCTTGTAATAAATTGGTGTGTCAAAGTCTCATTATGAACAAATACAAGAAAACATATATTTTAAATATATTGTAAGCTCTCTGAGACTCCCTGAGATGATGAAAACCTGAAATATGCATAGATTTTTAAAAATAATTGGATAAGTTCATGAATGGCAGAGACAGGACTGGTCACTACAAGAACGAAGTTCTACCTAGCCTTAAATTAGTCACGGAGGGCAGTCAAGCCTTTGGCTCTATCAACAGTAGAATATGTATGTATGCATGTGCATTTATTACAGAACATATATGTGTACACAGAATTTATGTGTATTGTATATATTTATATATATGTATATTATGTATAAATAGATGTATATTGTGTATGTAAACAATACAATCTTGTTTCATTCTTGGCAACCTTGGCAATTTTTATGTGCTTAAATGTATTTTTAATGCATCTGGCTCTAGGTCATAGACAGTTAGTCCATTCAGTATTTTTGTTTGTTTGTCTGTATGTTTGTTTTTGGCCTATTCTGAAATTAAGAGGCGAGGCAAAGCATTTCTTACTGTGTATAAACTTTAGCTTCTGTTTTCCTGAGAACAGTGCCCGGAGATATGTGTTAAACAAATGAGTTTAACACCCTCTGACAATTTCTCTGGGATACTCGAGGACAGTAAAATTCCCGCAGCTGGTGGCTCTCTGTTCAGGACACCCCAGTACTCCACCATTAGATGGAGTCATCTCTAGAAGCTGAGGACGTGCTGGCAGTGAGCGTCTGAATCTCTTGAAATAATAAAATGCTACTTCAAAACCTTCGGTGCTTCCCTTTCTTTCTGAATCTGGCGCTTCACTACTGCCTTCACAAGCCTGTCATCTGTGCTAAAGCCAAGCTTAGATGCCCTGCTTCTAGGTAATAGATGACAAAGCGTATCCACGGCAAAGGCCCAGTCTCTTAAAGTGATAACATAAAAATGCTGGTCCAGCAGGAAGGAGTAACTTTCCCCAACTTCCAGGGTCAACTCCTTGGGAAACTGATGGGTGTAGTTTGTGTCAGTTGACTTAATAGGATAGATAGAAAGGAGTGAGATAAAAATATGGAAGGGTTGGGAAAATCCAGGTTAATTCTTAGGACTTCCCAATAAACTGCTCTATTGCTGTGTAATGATAGTCATTACTTTCATTTTAAATATCTCCCTCCACAGAGAGTAAAGGACGACAGTGAAAGGTACTAGTTTCCAATACTATTTTTAGGAGCTGTGTTTATAGTTTAAAAATGTAAAAGCCATTTAAAATTTATATGGGTAAATATAACATCCCTTTATTTTTTAGTCAGCACTGGTTAAGCAATAGATTTTTGCTAGTATTTGTATGCCACATGGAGTTTTATAGGATGCTACTTGAAACACAAATTCATAAATTAATTTCAGTGGCTTATCTTTTTTCTTCTTATTATACCATGTTTAGTAGCTTAATGAGTCTCCTCATGGTAAATGCTATTGACTTATGATTCTGACACTTGGAACAGATATGTGTAGCTATGCATACCGTAAAGTCCCAGGAAAATCAAATTAGAGTAAGTGTCATGATCTCCCTGAGTGCTTACAGTAGTATTATATTGATTATTCCATGTTTCCTGTTTTACTGGATTAAGCAGTGAATTATTTAACCCTATATTTTTTTCTGGAAAAAAACTATAGAGTTCCTTTTTTGATAATTTTGGAGGTGCCAAAAGTTGGAAAATATGGCTTTTCACATTTCTCTCGTAGAAGAAAAATCATTTTTGAATATTCATTCAAGAATTGTTTTTGTTTTTGTTATATATATATATATATATATATATCAACATATATATATATATAATAAAAGCATCATATGCTAATTAGACCGGGCAGCCTAACAGCAGAACGACCATCCGGACGACCTTCTGGAAGGGCCAAGACAGCTGCCGTGGCTGCAAGGGCCAAGCCCCTTGCACAAATTTCATGCATCGGGCCTCTAGTATATATATAATTAACCAATTATAGTGCAGAGAAATGGAAATAGGCATGTTTTTCATAATAAATATTTTTTTACCTGACAAGAATAAAGAGGAGTTCATGAAATATTGCAAGAAGGCCATTCTTCCACAACCAACTAAAATTCTTCAGGAAGAGGGCTCTTATTGGCTTATTTAAAGCATCTGAAGGAGAATGAAGAATCTCAATTACAGTGCGAAGTGGTCTTGTTTTTTTGTGTTTGTATTTTTTTTTCTAAGAACATTAGGAAGAGTTCACACTTATCCAGTCCTCTCACTGTAATTAAGAAATGGAGACTTAGACTGTGTCTTAAGACAGACACATTCTGGATCAGAAGATATTTAGTAGCAATGGGGATTTGGACCCAGATTCCTTTAATTCCTGGTCCAGCATAGCTCACTCTATACCTAACTGTGTTTGCCAGGGTTTAAGGTAGATTCTTTGTTTTGTACAGAATAAAAGCTGAAGGGATGGTGTGAGGCATAAGGAGAAAGAGATTCCATGGGGAAGAAGTAGAGCTTCATTATAACTAGGCCTCAAAGAGTTGGAATTGAACCCAAGGCATCTCTGAATTTAAACAAGGGGAGTTTGTGGCTCTTCTCTGTATTTGGCTTTCATGTGCCTCAGATACTTCTGGATTCTTCTCGTTTCCTGTATCTTCTCATCTCTCCTTTCAAATCTGCTTCTTCATGATTCCAAACTCTGACCTGGTTATGATCCCACTGAGCCATCTTTGTAAAGCATTCTGTCAGTTTTAACTCCTCCTGTATGATTGTTGCGTTAGTGCCCCATAGCAAGAATCTGATTGGTACAGCTTATTGTACCAGACCACATGGAAAGACCTAGAGAGCTTACAAATCCTTTGCCTTCTCCTCATATACCCACCAGGGGCTCAGGCCAGGAGAGTAAAACCAGAAACTAGAAATGCCCCTGTCTCAGAGGTGATGGGTGGGGAGTGCACTCATCAGAGCAGGTGGCTTGGCTGGTGCCATGAGTGACAAGGCCAGTGCATGGTGTGTATTGGGAGACACTTCTCCTACGCTGCAGGGGCTGAGCTAGAGTGCAACCGAAAGGAAGATATGTAGTCATTCTGATCCTTCACCCTCTTCCACTGCTGTCTATGAATTTGCTGTGTTCAGATCAAGGCTGGTTATCATTGAAGTCAGCTTGGGTCCTGAGCTCGGTGGGACTCAGAGGCACTAGCTGTGTTGTTTCATCCCCGTCTCCCTAGGAATCTGGGCAAAGGTTGCAGAGAAACATTCATTTAGGGAGGAAAAGAACACTCTACTGTGGTTATACACTGTCGCATGGCTGTACCTTCTCTTCCTGATGTATACTTTTGACTCTGAGAGAGTGGAATTCTCAAGAATTTCTTTTTCTGTGGCGGTCCTAGACCTAGAAAAAAGGCTTGGAAGTATGAATGTTATCAAAATATTATATTACATAGAACTCCTTTAAGATTTTATGTTTCTACAAAATATCAGTAATTTTGTTTATTTTGTGTTGTCTTAGTCACCTCTCCCGTATTTCTAGTAAGTACACAACTGTGGTTTGACCATGTCTTTACAGGTAGCCTTGGTGAAAGACCCTGTTATGTTGCTGGAGCTCATTGTTCTGATTCCATCTATGCAAACAATTCCTTGTGATTTACTTAAGTTCTCACACAGGTGCCTTCTTTCAGCCAATAGGTTTAGAATATATTTTGGTATAATATTCTAGGAGGGATGGCTGGAGTTAGGAGAAGACATGTAAGGGAGTCTGTTGTTGTTACAAGAAATACTTGTTTAGAGAGGAAAAAGAACACTATTTTCTTCCCAGAAATAAAATTTAAAAATGTAGCAAGATGACCTTGCTATGTGACATTATGTTTAATCCCATTAAGACAGCTCAATAACTATTAGAATAAAATTAGCATATCATAAAAATCTTCTATTCAATATTCAGAACTTTCTGAAATGAAACTCATTGTTTAAATCCATTTAGAGTAGCAACTAAATGAAATGATTTGAGAAAAAAACCAA